ATTTATCTCCTAAGGGTGTGTGAGAAATCGTATTGTTACACGTGTAATTTTAATGCGACTTCAAACATATACCGTTGCAGAATACCTGGTTAGAAAATTTATTTATAATTATGGTAGGGTCATGGTAAGACCTAGAAGTTCTACCGTGATTTACTATTGGTCAGAATTTTAACAGCATAAGACACTCGTATAACACCGTGTTCATGGCAGACACATAAAGAACCCCTAGAAAAAATATTAAAAGAAAGCGGGAAGAAAGGACAAATTATCATTTGTAAGAAGAGAGAGTGTATGGTTTGTCAGCAAAAGGGATTACCAAAGATGCGAGTTACAAATTGGAGACGTCAAAATCAAGCAAGTACGGAAATGAAAGTGCGTGGAATATGTTTTAACAGAGAATGGGAAAAAATGACAAAGACATACAAAGGCGCATTGGAACAGCGAAAAATGCCTTCCAAATGTTAAATATGAAGAAAATTTCGTTAGAAACAACGAAAAAAGTACTGAACAAAGATGAACAGGGTAACAATAGATAAGTGGCTCTGCAGAAGGATGCTGAGAATATTAATGGACGAATAATGAAAGATTCAAGGAAAATGATTGCAGAAAATCAACACCTTTACTTAGAACCAGAATGAGACAGTAGACATTTCTGAGACACATAATGAGAAAAAACGACTTGGAGAATTTGACACACACGACCAGATGGGTGGGAGTAAAAGGAAACGTCGAGGAATCTACATAACGAAATGGATGTAAGAACTGAATGGGTCGGATAGTAAGAACATATTACTTAAGAGTTACAAAGGATAGAAGTTTGTGAAGAGCCATGATCACCCACGTTCTTAAAGGATACGACACATTGTGGATGAAGAAGGAACCAGTCCTCGGGGCTGCCATCGTATTTTCAATTATCTTTGGCAAATGTCTGGAAGGAAGCGATAAGTAAACACGGAAGCAGTACGCGATATTGCATATAAGCTGGTCGACAAACGAAATGACATATATGCTGACCAAGACCTCAATAGATCACCGGAACCCAGACAATAGGCAAAGTTAGTTTAATTTACCTAAGTACCAAGAGGACATTATTGCATAAAGAAACGAAATATCTCGGGAGGCGTTGACATGTTACGCATTGAAATGCTGTTGCCAGCCTTTGCGCTCTCATCAACTACGGAATCTTTCATGACGGAAAAAGTTTTCATACAGTACTCACAAACATTCTTTTCTTCCTCAACCGATAATAAATCAGCAATATTAATATTAATATCTATCTATCTATCTATATATATATATATATATATATATATATATATATATATATATATATATAACATAAATAGAAGGAAAGATTGAAATGGACACAATGTAGATAGATAGATATATAGAAAGAAACAGGCTGAGATAGATAGATAGATAGATAGATAGATAGATAGATAGATAGATATAAACAGAATGTGATAAGAACGTTGATAGAAAGAATAAGAGATAGACAGAAGAAACAGAATGTAATAACATAGATAGATAGATAGATAGATAGATAGATAGATAGATAGATAGATAGATAGATAGAGATAGAATAGAATATAAAACGTAGAAAGGATAGATAGATAGAGATAGATAGATAGATAGATAGATAGATAGATATGATAAAGAAAATAGATAGATAGATAGATAGATAGATAGATAGATAGATAGACAGAGAACATAGATAGATATTAATAACGTATTAAAAGGATAGATAGATAGATAGATAGATGGATAGATAGATAGATAGATAATAGATAGATAGATAGATAGATATGAACAGAATGTATTAATAACGTAGAAAGGATAGATAGATAGATAGATAGATAGATAGATAGATAGATATGAACAGAATGTATTAATAACGTAGAAAGGATAGATAGATAGATAGATAGATGGATAGATAGATAGATAGATAGATAGATAGATAGATAGATAGATATGAACAGAATGTATTAATAACGTAGAAAGGATAGATAGATAGATAGATAGATAGATAGATAGATAGATAGATAGATGAACAGAATATTAATAGGATAGATAGATAGATAGATAGATAGATAGATAGATAGATAGATGGATAGATAGATAGATAGATAGAATAACAGAATGTAGTAATAACGTAGAAAGGATAGATAGATAGATAGATAGATAGATAGATAGAATAGTAATAATAGGATAGATAGAGATAGATAGATAGATAGATAGATAGATAGATAGATAGATAGATAGATAGATATTCTTGTAGAAAATTTCATGTCGCAGGCTGCTGGTGGCCTCGTGTTCACAGACCGTTACTACTGAATGAACTTTACTTACTAGTGTGTACCTAGCCACTTTCCGGCAGACTAATTTCAATGAAGCTTTACCTATTATATTCTCGTGTGTTCCGATCATGATCTCGTGTCCAATAAACCATTACGGTCATAGGTTCTCCACATGTACCGCAGCTGCAGCTGTTCAACCGATAAGAAATCAGCAAAACTAATTTAAATGCCATGTATTTTTAGGAGTCAAAAACTATTATTCATTTCCCGGCTTGGCCTTTATTCAAAGCGAGTCTCTTCGTTCCTGAAAATCCAGTCGGAGGGACGATATTTTATTACTTTTCGCATCAGGCTAAATTTTAGAATTTTACTTAAAATAGAATCCATAAAAAAGTTCTCGAATCAACTTAGTAAACACTCATTTCTGATCGGTAGTGTAAGTGAATACTTGTGTGTATACGAAAAGTATATTTATGAGTTAAACAGAATATTACAGCCATTACATTAAGTACCTCCATATTTCGGCATAAATTTTCTATATTGAAGTTTAAAATGAATTTTTACTATGAAAAACATTCTTGAAGATTTCATTTTAGCTTTAATTGAAAGTTTAATAACTAAATTTACGATTTTATTTTAAAACAATGTATTTCAGATAAGAAACTATATACATTTGATTGTCAAATTTAATTTCAAATTTTTAAATTTTCTTTAAAACGCCACATTTTCTTAATTTTAAGAAATTTGTAACAAAACACAAATTTATCGATTTTTTAAAATATTTAAAAAATTCTGACACGTTATTTTAGTAAAATTAAAAATTTAAAGTTAAAAGTAATCTGATTTCAAAGAAATCTTTGTTACTTATAGCATAAAAAATAATATACATCCAATTATTAACGAGCAGTCCTGTTCGTCTGTTCGATCTCATTGATAATGGTTGATTGACGAGCCGATGACAACTACTACTGATGACCATAAATGACATAATTTTTAAGTCTGAGTTTTTAAAAAATTATTATATTTGAGTATGACACAATACAATACATAAAATAAAATTATTTAGTGAAATAGTAAATGAAAAAAAAAAAATAATTTGGAATGTTTAAGAAACGAAAAATATTTTGAAAAGGCCACCGTAAAGGGACAAAACCCTTAGATCACATGACCTTGTTATAATAATGGCAATTTCTGTATATCATACATGGAAATAAGGAATGTATTAAGTAAATAAATACAACATAAAAAATTATTTTAAAAAAAAGTAGCGCAACTAAATTTATTAAACTTAGCAATTCTTATTCGTAATTTTTTTTCTACTTAATTACTACATAATATTGAGGAACCCTCCTAATACAGAGCTTTACACGATTTAAAACTATTATAAATTATTATAATTAAAATTTCTTAAAAAACGAAAAAAATTCTTTAAAATTAATTATTCATCAGAAAAAAAATTATTTTTCAGACAATAATGTTCTTAATATTACTTATTTACAAAAGCAATTAAAAGCTTTTAATTTAAGTAATATCATAGTTTTATTGGATTCATTATTTTTCAATTCAGAGCAGATTTTCAGTTTTTAAGCTCAAATTTGTGAAAGAAAATTAGGTTATTTACCATCTTCGAAGACTCCTACTTTTAACAAAAAAAAAATTCAGGAACCAAAAAGGTTTTGGGCGAAATTTCATTAAATTAAGTAAATGTGGGGTAAAATTTTTTTAAAAAATATATTTTTACCAAAATTTTCTAAAAAAATATTTCAAAAATAATTTCATTGATTTTGAATAAGTCCTGAAAATTTCATTAAGATTGGACAATTATTTTATTTTTTTACAAGAATTTCCAAATCAATATGTTTTCAACGGTAAAAACGCAAAAAAAACTGTTATTTTAAACGTCGCCGCGATGACGTAAACAAAGACGACTTTAACTAAAAATTTCGAACGTGTTAGAAAATATTAAAAAAATTTCAAAAATAATTAAAAATACTTTTTTTCTTTTCTCTAAATAATAACATAAGCATTTTGACGATAATACTTTATTTTCTTTAAGTTTGTGGCATTTTTCATTTACGCTATGCTGTTTTTCCGCGAAAACAGTGGACATGCTTACATTACATTGAGATGTTGAAATTATAGAGGACATTTTGTCAGTGAATTTATTTTATGTATGTATGTAAATTCTACTGTATGTATATACCTCACGATGTAGGCCTGTTTTTATGTATATGAGTTGTTAGGGCGCTCGCATTCTGACCATGAGACCATGGTTCGAATCTCACCATGGTCGATTTGTTAGGTAGGAGACTTCCTGATGTTATGGGACTGGAGGGGTCGATCCCACCGTGCGGTATCTTTGGAAAGTGCCTAAAAACCATACCACGCCTTGTGAATGAAATTGGGTAGACGGAACACTTTAGCGTTGATAGCTCTGCGAGCCCGAAGTCACAAGTCATCGTGACCCAGGCTGCTGGCGTTGTTCAGATTGTTGATCGTGCTAGATAACACGCTCTCTCCCAGAAACTGTAACTAAGGTCTGCTTAGCACAGTCGCAGTTGGTATACACCACAGGTTGGCTCTGTGAGTGATGAACAAACACAAATGTTCCTGAGCAACTGTCTGAAATAGTAGACTAGTAGACAGGTATCCTCGAATACGTGTGGCCAGATACTATGTATGTATGTATGTATGTACATACTT